CCTCCCTGGTGGGATTCAAACCCACGACTTTTATATTGGAAGTCCAACGCGCTATCATCCATTGCGCTGAGTGAGTGAGTGGATATTAACGTCACACTGTTCAGCTACACGAGAGCTTTTGGCGGTGGACCACGTAATTTTGAACCATGGTCAAGTGACGTGGATGACACCTGAGCTGGCACTCCCTCTCCTAACTACCACACCACACCAATGGGAAAACGTTTCAGCTCTCGACAGATTTAACGTGCATCGCTGCCCCACACGGCGGTTCCTTAGTGGTACTGGGCTCGAACTCATGACATGCCTGCCATGATCCAATACCTTGACCACTGGGCGACCGCAGTCTTATCCATTGCGCTACAGGAACACAACGAACGATTTTCTTTCTATATATTCTGTGTGTGTGTTGAACTATTATTTTTATTTGTTACTATTTATTCATTTTTTAATTTAATGAATGAATTAATATTTGAAAAAACTGTATTAACATCGAGCGTCATTCACTTCAAGTTAAAAAGTACTTGAACAAGTACTTGAACAATATATATTATATATATATATATATATATATATATTATATATATATATATATATATATATATATATATATATATATTATATATATATTATATTATATATATATATTATATATATATATATTATATATATATATATATACATATATATATATATATATTACATATATATATATATATATATATATATCCCTCTAGCATTATTTTAATTAACTCTTTTAATAGTATTCAAATAATCTTTTAATTATTTGGTTCGAAACTAACCCCCTGATTTTAATCGTAATCAACTAATAATATTACATCATAAATCCCTTTCCCGCCCTTTGTAACCAATCAGAGCTCTTATTACAAGCATGTCACGTGGTCTTCAACGTCAGGTATAAAAGCCGATGTCTCTGGAAACCTCTGGCTCTTCGCTCTTCAATCATTTCTCTGTAGTCATTTAGCGGCTGCAGCGCGTTCTGTGTGTCTTTGTCTGTGTTGTATCGTCCATGTTTGCTTCTTGTATGTGTAACGCCGTCCCTACTGGATCTTTATGTGTTCCTGTGTGTGGATGTGAATAAAAAGGAATTTCGATTTCCATGAGTTCCTCTTCGATACTATCGTATTAGACCATGCTCCACGTAACAGAAAATCACATCACCGGCCACGCCCAACCATTGGTTCTCCATTATTTAATCAACCACTCGCTACGTCTTACAATATATTTACCACTCAACGAAATTGTTCCAGAGGCATTTCATATATATATATATATATATATATATATATATATATATATATATATATGATTTTCCCTTTGAAACATTTTGTTAAAAGGTTGAGTCATATCCTTTTCAGAGGACCATTAATCTCAATTTTATTTATTACTGCATTCCGAAGCAGCGCCGTCTAGTGAGCTTTCGTAGCTCCGGCTTGAATAATTTTTCGGCAGAGGCCTACTAACAACCGCTTGTTCAGCACGTCACGTCTTTAGCGCATTTTCGCGCCCTGCGCGGTACCACCAGTCCTAACGTCCAAGCATGACAAAGGTCATTCATTTCCCCGTCTTCTAAAGGTATAACTCAACTTTCAATTAACCTAATTCCTGCATGTCTTTCTCTTTGTAAATATCCCCTTTTGTAAATATTTCCCTTTAACTTTAAATAAATTCTTTTTTTTTACTTAAATGAAGTATCTGTGTTTAAATGACTTTGATTCAATTAATTCATCACTCACCCTTAAATACTTACCCCTAGACAACCCACCTCGCCAATATAAAATTCCGCCTTCTGAAGAGTCTGATTTTTATTCAAAGATTTATTCGTTCTCCCACATATATATATATATATAAATTTAAAGATCCCTTAAGTGTCCATTTGGCTTGAATGCTCTCGGCAGAATTAAATTCCTAAGTACAAATTTCGCATCTGCAGAGCTCAGGTTTCTCTGGGGAAGAAACTGAGCGTCAAAATTACTTGCGGTAATTGGAATTGCCTAAATGGTTCCGCACTAAAAAGGGATACCAGCTCCTGAGGAATGTACTAGGTTTGCAAAAGTAGAAATACCAATTATAGAAAAAGAATTAATTATGGGAAACGTGTGTTAAACACACTTTTAAGAAGTTCTCTTTCATAAATTTTATATAGATATTCTACATAATAAACTCAAAAAATCAGCCAACTTAAATTTTTTTTTTATTTAATTACGGTAAAGAGTGTAATTGTTCGTTAACTTTTAAAGGTTTAATAACATGAAAAAACATTTAGGTGGAAGACATCAAACGAAAAATGGTGAAAGTATCGATTTGATTTTAAAGGATAGCCAAACAAAGAAGGAAAAAGTCCGGATTCAAATTAAGGCAATTTGAACAGTGACAAAAAAGAACAAAAGGAAAGATTAATTCAAAACTGGATACAAACCAACGTAATTAGACTGAAAATGTTTTTAAAACGAGCTAAACGATCTTTCTAAGTTGAAGAATTAAATCGTTGTTACTGAAGATAACCGATTCAATTGTTAAGTACTAGGGAATTCTAATAGCTTAGAGTAAGTAATATTTGACGTAGGAAAGCTAATTAAATTCGAGAGAACAAGAACTAATTACTGTGACATAAAATTTTATAAGTTATCAGTTAAATAAAATCTAATAATAAAAGTTAATGCATTCATTTTATTGGTGATTAAAATTTTTTGGGGGAGAATTATTGTTTTATAATTTTTTTTCTTATAATTGAACGTGTTTTACTGGCATAAACATATTTATTTGAAATAAAAGCAATATGCTTTAATGTGGATATTTTAAAACAGTTTTTTAAAAATATTTGTTAAATAGCTTCGCTCATATAAGTCGTGAAAACTTTTTTGTTTCGTTTTAAATCTAAATCCAGTCGTAAATCCTTTAAATGTATTTAATGGATATTTCTTATTCTTATGAGTGTTTTTATTGGATATCTTGTTATACAGATATTTCTTCTCTAATACAAAAATATTCATGTACATAAACAAATGTGTGTATATATTAACTTGACTTAGCTCAGTGGGGGCCAAGGTGTACTGTGCCCAACTCAGTACACGCGACCTTCGGCCCTGAGGCGCATGCGCACATGTTCCAGTCAGGTGCTCAGTCTGACGCGAAAGCCCCATCGTTAAGTTCTCAAGCAAGCTTGGCACACATTTATCGACCCGCTGTAGGGGACAAAAGGCTGAATTAACCCGGGGTTTGAACCTCAGACCCATGGAGTGGAAACGCGTTGCACTAACCACTCAGCCAATGGGGTTTAAATTTGTATAAAAATTTTCCTTTTTAACTGATTCAAGTATAAGTTATAGAGTGAAAAGAGCTTTTCTTTTGATAATTTTGAGGATTATTACACACAGCTTAGGGTAATTGTACTAGCTATGCTAATTGTTAAATAAAATGAAACTAATTTTCATAGTCAAAAATAATTATGGCGATTTAGCTATACATTCGAATCTCAAGCATTAATTTAAAATAAAAACTAGTGGTAAATAAACATTCGTACTTTTAAAATGTTTTTTAAATTCTTCTCAAGTACTGTACTATTAAGGTATCAGACTGCGTTTGGAAAAAATGATTTTTAAAAAGTTTATAAATAAATATTTTTTTTAAATATGTAGTGCCGTACGAATTAGAATATACAAATAAAATTGTCTTAAAGATATTATTACAGTTGAAAAATAATTTAAAAGCGATGTTTTTTCGTCAAAAAATGAAGAAGTAATGTAAATTTCTTTTTTAAAGTTAATTCCTACTTAGGTCAACAAAGAAATTTTTTATTTTAGTTACTTTTTATTAAATAATTACGATTAATATAAATATGTGCATACATATGACAGAATCACAATATTAAGAGGCAAAATAGAAAGCGATTTTCCTCGCAATTTTCCATTTCACTTTCTATATATGGCGGCGTTAGACTATTATTCTTGTTTATTTTATTTATTCATTAATTAAATTTAATTATTCCAATGTCGCCCAACCGGTATAGAGGTTAGCGACGCTGACAGCAGTGCCGTAGGGACTGGGTTCGAATCCCAGAGAAGACATGGATGTTTGTAACTGTTTAGTGCCATTGAGGCCTGGGGCTACTCTAAATAGCCATCGAGCCGCAAGTCCTCTCGTCTGGTAAATGGAAGGGGAAGAGAGGTGAGAGGCCCCTGGCCACATCCAAGGTTTTCTCCCTCTAAATTGGGGTGAAGCGAGCAAAATAATAATGTCCCCTACATGGTGCTCAAAGCTAAGGTTGACGACAGGCGTAAAAATTTTAGAACTTAATCGCGATGAATTTCGCGGGCTTCGTTCTGACTTCGTCTGGCAGGTGGCATTAGTCACAACAATTATTTCAATAAAATAGTATAGTAAAAAGAAATCATATTCTCAGAAATATTATCTTATCCCAGGTAGTATTCGATCCCACGACCTTTGCATCAGAAGGTCTAACGTGCTATCCATTGCTCTAAAGCGACACAACGAGCTGCTTTCCTTTTTATATAAGGTGTTGGACTATATATTATTTTTGATTCTTACTATTTGTTCATTAATTAAATTAAATTAATTAATATTTGAAAAAACCGTATTACATTAAGTATCATCCACTACACACACAAGTTTAAGAAAATGTATTTGAACTTAAGTGGATGAATAAAAAGTATTTTATTAAAACGATTGAAAATTTGAACAATACACTGGTGTGCAAAAATAAGGGACGAGACGGTTTTTTCAATATAACTTTGTACAAAAGCTTTCCAAATCAACACATTTAATACCGTAAGATCCCCAATACGTAAGGACATGTGTAATGTAAGCAACACTTACTAAAAGAGAAATCAAAGGGATAAAAAGAAGCTTGATTGAAAAAGTAGCATGGAACGTAATGCGACTGAAGGCCGAAACATCCCTGTGATGGGTGTCCAGCAAGAAACATCGATCGTTAGTAGGGGATATGATCTCCTCTAACTGTTAGGCAGGTTTCACAGCGTCTGCCCATGCTGAGAATGAGGGTGTCAATGAGTTGTTGAGGCATTGCTGCCCA